TCACTCTAAGCTTCAGCTTTCAGGATTTTCAGTTTACATAATGAGTAATTCGGATACTTGCTGCAAGAATAAATGTCCCTCTGATGAGCCCGGTGCCGGTAGATTTTTATGTAACACTCCCGTGTCATATATTCTTTTTATACCTGTGATTTATTTTTTTTCCTCGTTCTCCAGATTGAGGTTGGCTCCACTAATGTCCGCATTGGCAGCACCATCTTTGGCGAGCGAGTCTACGCCAAGTCAGCAAAGGGAGAAGCGAATGTAACTAATACAGAAGAGAAATTAGGCAGCTTGTCGGTACAAGAACAGTGATGTGACACCCCGGACCACAACGTCTACAGAGGGGATTCCAGCACCGCCTGTGCCATATCAGTTTGGTTATTATGTGAATGTTAATGTTCGGCTGCATTACCCAGCTAACGTATATAGAATTTAAAGCTGAAATCCTGGCACACAGCAAATACGTGAATGAAATGCATACAGGGACCAGCCAAAGGGTTTGTACTTCTGTCCATCTGGTTCTGAGATTTACACAGCTCTGCCACACAGCACAGCCCTGTCTGACGGGGGAGACCTGATTTTTCTCTTCTGCAGTTAAGTAACACTTACAGGTCTTGTCTCTCCCCCAGCAGCCTGTGTCTGGACAGTAAAAGGAGAAGCAGCACTCTGCTCTCTCCTCCTAGCATGTTTATTGATAGAACAGCAGCACATGCTGCCTCTTCCTCTCCTCTGCTGTATAGAGGATTGCAAGTCTAATTCCGGTACTTACACTGCTTGCATTCAATAAATAAAATACATTTAATGATGTATAAAAGGGTAATTGCACTTTCCCAGATGACTTTTGGGAAATGGATTTACCCCCTTCTATCTGGCCCCCTCCACTTGCTATACTTGCCTTTGGGTGAACACTCTCTTTCCCCTCTGCCGGAGCGGGGGTACTTATCCGTACCTCATATTGCTGTGTATCGCAGCCCTGTGCTATGGATTTTGAATTTTGCTGGCAGTGCGGTCACCTGACAGAGCTGGCCAATGAGAAGTTCTTCTTGCTAGGAGTGCTCTCCATTTGCAGAATTCTATGCTCAGGGCTGCGCTACACACCTGTGCTGGGCAAGGATAGTACACCCAAAGGTAAGAATAGCAAGTGGGGTGGAGGGGGTAATTCTAGTTTCCCATATTCGCCTGGGAAAGGGGAATTACCCTTTAAGGATTGTAGTGCTGCATTCATTGTTATCTTTTATATCTGCCTGGAGTTCAGCTTTAACAGCCACATCAATCCTCTTCTTGGATGCCGAGAAAATGAAATGTCCTCTATCTCCTAGAAATTCACGGAGGACGATTTATAAAACTGCCCACCCATACGCTGGGGGAATGCTAAGCACAGAACGGCAGATGGAGCATAGTGGTGGGAATGCCAACCCCTAAAGTATAAATAAAAGTGAGAGTGGTGGGGAGATTATAACCAATGTCAGGTTTGTATTGATGTCTGCGTCTCTGTTGGGGAGATTCACTCCCTCATTGTCCTGTCACTGGAAATGAAAGTGACACGATGAGGGGATACCTGTAAGTTGGGACACGTCGTCCCTTGACAACTATCCAAGAGGGGATTTCCCTGATACTCTCACTTCCTGTGGAGTCTCTAGGACAGGAAGTGAAGGGAAATCTTCCCAACTCAACAGCAGCTTTAATACTCCTCTACTTTATCCAAAATGGGGAAAAAATTGTTCCGTCTTTTAGATGTACTTTTGAAGAGCAATTCCACTTTTTCTGGTGAATTTGTGCAAATGGAATTACCCCTCCAATCTTGCCCCCTCTTAACCCAAACCTGGTCAGGTGACCACACTAACCAATGAATGCTCGTGAGCAAAATGTAAAATCCAAAATGCAGTGTGTGCTGCTGTGTACGGAGTAGAGGTAGTGCACCGGCGGAGGGGAAGGAACATTTAGCCAAAGGTAAGTACAGTTGGGGGGAGAGGAGCCCGGATTGGAGGGATGCTTCCATCTTCCCAAATTCACTTAGGAAAGTAGAATGACCCTTTAAGCTTGCATCGAAGACCGATCACTTCCTCGTCCAGGTAGACTTCCAATCTTTTAAATGTTTCAGAGTGAAGTATTCATATCAGTAATATGTGAGTCGGCAATTGTTTTCACCAGTGTAGCTGTGTATATCTAGAACTGGCTTCATTGTGAAATGGTGAAAGGAAACTGTACAGGCCGAAGAAGATGTTCATCTTCCACCATTACTCAGACTGCCCTGAACTGATGAACATTGAATGCTCGGTCATTGCCCTCTGCACATCATCATCATCGATCTTCTTCTTACCTCTTGAAATTGTCATCATCATCGTGTTTGTAAAAAAAAAAAAAAAAAAAGATGGACCCACAACAAGAAAAGCATATCACAGCCACAAATATCTTTCAGTTATCACGGCAATGAAGTGTGCTCCTGTTTAGGAGAACACTTTGGAAAGAGACATTAGCGGGTATTTCCTCACAATATGATCAATGGAATGTACTATGATCACAGACTGAGCCCTGTTTAATCATTTCAGGATAAAGAATCATGAAGATCTGTCAGCAAAGTTTGTAGGATGTTTCTCCATCTTCCCGCTCCTCTCCCCCATGCTGCACTTACCGACAGTTACTAGCTGTCAAGAAGCAGCCATTGCAGTATAGAATAAGACTTCCTCAAGTGTCACCGAGTAAGTACAATCAATCAATATATTGTTTTATTGTATTTACTATTTTATTCATTTCTAAAGATATGAATGGCATTATACGCACAATGATATCATAAAGTAACTTTTTATTCTTGAAATAAATGTCGTCCAATTTAACCCTTTATTTATCCTTGGTTAACTCTAATCAGTCCTAATAAACTCCTTCCTCCCCTTCCACCCTTGGCTATTGTTTCTCTGCTTTTCTTTTGCCACCAATATTTTTGTAGTGGGGCTACCCTCTCACTGCAATGGTGGTGCTTGTTTTGTATGGGGAGCTTAAATAACAAAGTTATATTCACCCAAAGCACAATCCTGGCTGGCTCCTAGACCAGTCCCTTCAGCCTGTCTCCTCCCCCACTCAGGCGTCATTATGCTCTAAACACTGTATAGAGCGTGATGACTCACAGGACCTTAGACCCGCGGTATGGAGGGGGAGCAAGGCAGAGGGGACAGATCTAAGAGATCAATTATGACTGGTTCTCTTTCATGGGTTGTGAGTACAAGTGCTCGGCTTGAGCTGACATCTGCTCACTGCTTTTGAACATTGGGTTCCATATACTGTTATAGAGGAAGTGTAAGCATTCTCTGTGGGTGGTAAATGGAATGTGATAGCATATGGCTCCTTCCTTTCACTTATGAGCACATTTTCTTTTCTCATGGAATGTTGTAATGTACATTGTTCTGGATTTTAGTCCTCAGGCCTGAAGATTTGCACAAATATAATTACAGTATACAACCTGTAAATGGTCCCTTTTCTAATTCAAGGAAAGTGTTCTTACTGGAGCATATCATTTAATTAGAATACGTTACAAAAAATGTTTTATTAGGATAAATGAATGTGACAGACCTGAAATGTGCACACTATGATACAATAAAGATCATTGTTGGAACTGGTGCCATTTTCTAAAGCACTAAACCTCCTACACCTGTTTATAAACCCATTATCTGTTGTACCAAACAGGTATGAATCTGACTTACTCATTTCACCGTCTATAGAACAATTGCCTCTTCACTTTCAGGATCTTCTGTCTGTGGTGACAAAACGCTTGTAATATCAAAGGCAGCCACTTGGTGGAGCACTGTGTCCATTTAAAGGAGTTCATAGAACACCAGTGACTGGCTTTGGTGTTCAGCAGACCTCATTCTAGATGACGATAGTCTTCTTTTTGGGTTCTTCTATCAGTAGAATGTGTAATCCAAGCAAGACACTGCCCAGTCAATCTGTTCGCTATTATATAAACGTACTCTATGCCCTGTGGTATATTACTGCAAGTTGATCTCATTAGGGATGTCTATATTATGTACAAGATACATCCTCCCAAACTCTAATGCATAGATCCTATCTGGACCATAGCTCCCCCTATCATTATGTGTTATTGTTACAAAGGCATGGCACTGTTACCATACAAACTCAACAGCTGAACCTTAGTGTTCTGGAGAAGACCTACCATGTCCTTGGCTAGCACAGGGAAGTAATCACAATTCATCCGTGAGTGTCATGCTCCTCTGAGATTTGCTTATGAAATTATATTAGCTGTAGCAAAATCTAGCCGTAAAACCATTTGATGATGATTCACACGTAAAGTGACACTAAACTCAGGAGTTAAATCTTAAAAATACATTCAAGTACCTTAACTATTAACAAAAATTTATCTTATTTGTGTATCACTCAGCTGTAGATCCTCAAATCATCTCTGAATTGGTGCTGACACTGTCCTTCCTTCTGGAGGGGGGCTACTTTTGTTCCCCATGGTCCCTGTGTGTGTTGTAAAGTAGTCACCGCTCCAAGATCACTCCTGTGATGGACTACAATCTCATGTTTAGTTCACTCATTTGTGTTGAGATTGTAGTCCATCACAGGAGTAACCTTGGAGCGATGGCTACTTCAGAGATGATTTGATGATCTACAGCCGACTGTTACACAAATAAGATATATTTTTGTTAGTAGTAAGGCTGGGTTCACACCTGGTTGTTTTTCAGCGCTGATCGAAGCGCTGAAAAACGCTCCGCAAGTGAAATCCCATGAATCCCTATAGGCATGGTTCCCACCTGGGCGTATTTCAGCCCGTGAAAACGCCCTACACCCAAACAAGTACAGGAGCTTCTTTGGGGCGTTTTTCCGCGCGTATCCATTGGTATTCCCGAGTGTGGCTCGGGGTTAACAAAGCGGTAACCCCAAGCCACACTCAGGAATACAGCGTACAGGTCTTATCTTGTCCGCGATCCACGCTGTGTTCTGCGGCCGCTGCCGACTTACGGGTTCCGTCCCTTGCGAGCGGCTGCATCACTTTAAGTGTTCTGTTGCCCCATATTAATGCACACACCTTATGGCACATGCTAACATGAGTCTCTTCCCATCCTCTGGAACTCTTTACCCCAACCTGTCCGTCTATCTCTCCCCCCCCGACTGTCTTTAGGCGTTCCCTAAAGACTCTTCTCTTCAGGGAAGCCTATCCCACCTCAACCTAACCACTGAACCTTCACATTCTCAAACAATTCATCCCCACACAGCTCCCTCCTCATGTATCACTTCCCCCTCCCCTTTTAGATTGTAAGCCCTCACGGGCAGGGCCCTCCTTACCATCTTGTCTTGATTT